AATTATACAACATAAATGTAAAACTCATTGCATTTAATCCCAATTATACATTTAAAACTCAATATTTATTTATTGACGTCAAACCTCCGCGAAAACCTCTCAGTCAGACGGGACAGTCGTTTCATACTCTTCTCCCTCAAACCAAACGTAGGATTAGTGAACGTACTCTTCGCCTCCTTATACAGAGGGTTATCACTCTAAACATGGTTACAATCAAAGTATTAATAACTCAATTACAAAACCAATTACACCATATGAATGACCATGGCATACCTGTCCCCAATTAGCTTTACTCAATTCCTTTTGAAATCTGGCGAACTCTTTGCGATCCAAAATCTCTGCAATGAGTTTCCACAGCAATAGTAGTGCCAAACCGATCAATACTATTCCGATGAAAACACTGGACGACACGACCACTAAATTCACTTTTTCGGCGCAACTCTTATCTAATTTTGTTATCTTAAACGTCGGAAGCCTTTTGGTCTCATAGTCATAGTCAGTGCGCTCGTAAGTGAATGATAGGTCGCACTCGTTATTAATGGTACGGTTGCGGCACTGGTGTAGAGTTGTGTATAAGCCGTCGGTGTTGTTGACCTCGACCAATTTGTCCACCAATTCATACTGCATCTGATCGCAACTATCGGTGCAATTACTTCCATAGAGTTCGCATATTTTGGGCACACATTTCAACATTAGGTCACAATATTTCCAACTATCACAACGCGGACATATCTCACAGAATTTGCCGGTTATTGAACTATTGTTGCACTTACAGACACCACAATTACACTCACCAGCACCTGAACAAACCTGTGCCGCATATATAGATAAATTTATATTTATGCTAAATTCATTATTATTATTTCTCACTTACTAAATTAATTTCCTTTTGCTGTCCATTAACTGTTTGATTAACTGTTTGACTACACCAACTCGGGTCTGTGGGACAGTCGCAGTATTTTCCTGTATAACCTTTCGTACCTTTAGTACAGTTACACTTGGCTTCAATACACCTGCCGTTCCCGTTGCATATCTTAAGGTTCTTATCGTTGTCGGGATGACAGTTGGAGTCGTCGTACTGACAGTAGTCGCCGGAAAAGCCGGAATCGCAGCTACACTTTCCACACTCACACCTCCCACGACCACTACATGTCTTGAATATGTCTGCTCATATAATCACACAATTAGATCACCAAATGGTTTATTTATAATTATCTCTTACCCTCATGTTTGCAATGAGCATCAGGGTCTTTAGGATCAATAGGTTTTTCGGGATCGCATTCGCACTGCGCGCCCGTCCGGTTGCCATTACAAGCGGCACATATACCACAGGCAAAGGTGCCGGCGTTGTGACACTCGGCAGAGTTTTTCACTATTTTGTTGGGTTTTTCGCACTCGCATTCACATAGCATTTGTAAATCGATTTCCACGCCTTCGTTGATATTCGTTAAGCCTTTTAAAAATAATATCCAAACTAATTGCCAAATCTATTAAAATTGAACTCTCAATGAAATACCGATTTTAATCTTCTGCTCCCAAAGAGATCTGTCTGCAGGACATGACTTCACTCTGATGTTTGCGAAGAATGTGATGTCCGGCCGTCCCTTAAACGTACAATTATTGGTCTTCATTTCGGTCTCAGTTTCACACTTTGAGTACAAATCAATTTCGATGAAATCAGACATCTGTTCGACTCTCAGTTCAACCGACGACCGAATATCTCTGTAAACATCTTCAATGAGCCGCACAATAGTGGTGCTGTCTCCATCGTCAAGCCTATCCACCCGTGCCGTCGACCCTATAATGCTGGCCAGCGTTTGGTATATGTGCCGCACTTTATCGGTGACCGTAAATACAATATTGAATTTGTTTTGTCGCACTTTCTCAGCGATTTGATGCATTGACGGGTAGTCCAGCAAATGGTAATGAGTGTAGTTCTTGCCAGACATATGACACTTGCCATCGTTTGGCACTAATATACCGCTCAACTGATCATAAATTATGAATTAACTTATTTGATAGATGCTATTTTAATTGACATACCTTTCCATCGCCGGCGTAATGGAACTCCTCATCGGTGGCGACCACAATAATCTTGTCGGACTGATCCCTCCACCCAATCTCCTCCTTACAGACCAACACCTGCATGAGTGCGTCTAACGTGCCTTCGGGTGAATCCGTATTACCGGACGTCGCCGCGTCCCTCACACTCGTCACAAACAGCGAGTCTTTCGAGTCGAGGGTCAGCTTATGGGAGAAACTATAAGTCGGTTCCCCCCATACGTTGTGGTCATCCTTTCCCAAACTGCATGATATGCGACTGAACACCACAAACAAAACACTCAAATTAATAAGTTGCGTACAAATTGAAAACTTTTTTTCAAAACGAACTCCAGTTTGTAGGACGAGAAGGGCATAACAGGTTTGTCTACAAAGGATCCAAAGCCTATTTTAAAGTCTTTAGTGGTGTTTTTCATTTTGTCGGCCAAAGTCTTGCCAACATTCGCCAAATTGGTCTTAAACTTCTTCATAGTGCACGACAGGTCCATCAGATAGTAGAGATCCATGGGGTAGTCATCTGCCTGTCGGAAATGGATCGGTATTCTCCACGAGGAATTATTTCTCAGAGAGAGCCTATGTTTCTGAGGCTTCAGTTGAACTATTGAACCAAAATTTTTATTAAACTCTTTATCCAGTATTGTCCGGACATTCATTTGCGGTCCAATGATCTTATTTTCGCTGCAGTCATGAGACCGGAGCTTATGTTCGAGATTACATCTGAATGGGTGGCTAAAGGTGTCGTCTTCGCACCAAAAACAGTCCTTTGACTCCGATATGCATTCCCCACAAGTCTTGGCACTCAAACACTGTCCTAAAAATACAATTTCATAACACTATTAATCGTATTCTTAATTATTTATATAATTCTTTATAAATACCTTTTGATAATAGTATGAAATTTGAGAAATATGTGATGAATATTAAAAATGTATATTTTAAAAACATTTTAAATGTCTTAATTAATAAATTCAATGACAACTCATATTTATTGGGAAACTATAATATTTTATTATAACCGTAAATAAAATTCACATCCGAGTGAATCAATTTTGAAAGGGAAGTTTATTTCCTTTTGTAGTCCATTATTGTATTAATTTGTGTAATAAATATAAATATTAATTAAAATCTTTATTATTTAGTTATAATGTCATGAGTTGTTGATTGTATTGTCTTCGAGTGAATCTTTAACATCTATTTTATTTGTATTGATTTTTAATTTACTTAGTTTTACAGAAAACTTTTTCCATAAGAATTCATTTTTCATTTACTGTATAGTGTATAGTATACGTCAGTTGATAAAAATAATAAGTGATAGAAAAATAAATTACTTAATACAGTATATCGTTTATTTATATATATTTTAACAAATTGAAAATAAAATTACAATTTCATAAAATTAATTAATAATACTTGAAAATAACAAATAAACTATTCGTTAATTAAAAAGGGATAAACATTTAAAAATATAGTAAATAGTAAAATACTGGTGCGTTCTCATAGGGAACAGTAGGTGTTTGCCTTACATCGTTAATATCGAGAAAGACTTTTGTCTATAACCCAGAAGTATGGCCGGATTATTAATGAGCTTTTTCTTAATCATATCTATTTGTTTGCTTCTAATGTTTGTAAATATATGTAAGACAACAAACGCTATGACACTTATATTGGTGCAAATGAAACACATTATTATAAGAGATGAGGAATTTTCGCATAAGTCTCGCAGGAATAGGGGTAGTATTGCCGTACCGGTGCCTCCAGCCAACAGGAATATACTCTGAAAATATAAATTTAAGTTAATATTTGTTTAAAATTATACTGTATACATTTTCAAAATACTTACTCCAATAGCGTTGGTCACAGAAATGTGATGCTCAAGGAATGTGTACTATAATGAGTAAATTTATGAATTAGTCTTGGTAATTTTTAAATATATTCCAATACACTTACAGCTGTTGCATAAGTTGATGAAAAGCCGAGTCCTACCAATGCATTACCCAACCATAGCATGTCAATATCGGTTTGATAAAATATAATCAACACAATTGCTCCGATATTAATTACAACAAAATTAAAATAAATCATTTGCTGTGGTTTTAGTTTAGTGGACAAATAGATACTGATAAGACCTCCAAATGCATAGGTAGCACCTGTCGCTGTTTCAACCAGAGCTGACTGCATACCTATAAAAGTATACATAAGAATTAATAAATCTCTTTATTAATAATTAATTATTTTCAGATGTATACCAAAAATAGGAAGGGGTGTGGATGTAATAAATTGGGCCAAGAATTGCAAATAAGTCATTTCGAGACCATAATAAGCCAATAGTAGGACAGAGCCAACACCTATCAGAATCATTGTATAGGAATTGGGAATATTTTCCTTCCAGATCTGAAATTTCTCGAAATTAGTCAACTCTTGAGGCATTTCTTCAGCAAAGGCCGGGGGTGCGTGTGGCAGACGTGGCGGCACATACTTCTTGTAGATATACAGCGCCAGTAATGCCAACCCACCCGACGCTACAATTCCGGCAATAATCAGGTAAGGTATGTATAGTCGGGATTCATGTTTAGGCGCAGCTGTTGTGGTAATCTGTTTACATGAATGGCTAATATTAGATATTTGTTTTGATAGGAATTTATGACAAATACAAACCAATGAATCTAATGTTGTGGTGGACTCGGAGTCATCCGAAGAACTACCACTACATCCGGGCTCTTCAGACGAGAGAAAGACTGCTGTGATTGTCGGTGCGATTGTTATTCCGATGCCAAAGGAAAAGTGCAGGGCTTGGAGTAGAGGTCCTCCGCCCCCTTCAAACATCTCTATAATCCAGACATGAAAGCCTAAAAATGATAAAATAGTTAGTTTACTATATCCTGATTATCCATTCAATGTCTTATTGTACAAACCTATATCTAGAGCGCCGGCAGCAAAACCATTGATGGCTCCGATAACGAAGAATACATTGATTGAACCGGAAAATGGTGTGGCCACTAATGTAAATGCCGATATTATCAGCAATGCCACTAAAGCCAACTGACGATTCACATAATTAAATGCAATTCCGCCTAAAATTTAATTAGTCTTATTAATTTTAGCTTTTTATCTATTTTATTTAAAATTCTCATTTAATAAAAATATTTACGTTATAAAAGTTTGTTTTTTCTAATTATTTCGTAAATATCCTGTATATTTTTATAAAATTCTGACAATACTTTATTATTTTATTATGTTTTCAGTATAAATGATCTGATAGAAAAGTCTAAATTACATTATAAATAATAGAAAAATACAAAATATTTATCTAAAAGTGTTCAGTACATGTAATTCCCTTAACATGTTTCACATGTGAATCGAAAATTGAATAAAAATGTATTCAACTTGTAATATCATAAACACTTATAAAACAATTAAATAATCACTCGAAGAATTCGTGAATATATCGTAATAACATTTCCTAAAGTTGTAAAAACAGACATAAAATTATATTTTTTTATGTCATTACTGAACTTCACTGTAATATTTGAAATTATACACTAATTTAGACTACCAAGTTCTTAATAAGTACAAAATCAGTTAGAAGGGTTTATTTAGTACATATATTGTATAAAAATGATGCAATTGTTAACGAGTGATTACATACCCAGAGCCCCGAAAGTATAGGCCACTTGTCTTATAATTATAAAATAGGATATCTTGTCAAAAGTCACTCCAAGTATTTCTGACATCTCATCAAATGTCGGTCCAAATATGTAATCATTTAAAGCCTTAATTGAAAATAAGACAAAATAAATAATTGTTTCGATGATAACACAAAACGTTTAAGAATTTAAAGAATAATTAGCTTAAAATTGAATTGAAATGTAACTCTTAAACCGTTTCAGAAATTGATGTTTTTGTCTGACACTAACTCTTACTTGAATTGATTGAACTCTTCATCTAAATAAGTGATGGTATGTCTGCTCCCCGTCAATGGTCTACCCATTGTGTGAACCCATTTTGTGAACCCATTGTCTCCCATCTCTCACAACATAAGTCATTGTCTCTAATCTTGTATTTGTTTAGATAGTTATGTATAACTCGTGTCCAATCTTTTACTTAAGACACACTGTTTTGGCCACAAATAGTGACGTGAATTAGTTGTGCGCAAACAATATCACTATAAAACTGCACACAAATCAAAGTACTTTGAGAATTGATAATTAATTTTATTTACCTGTACCTGTAAATTGTATTTACCTAGTAAATTTTGTTATTGTCAGTAGTTTACCTCATTAACAATTCCTAGACATAAACATAACCTCAATACATGTATCATATAGTCTGAAGGATTCAAAAACTACTTTTATATGACATTCAATATTGACAACAAAATAACATTCTTTTTGATTGCATTTTATGTTTTAATGAATAAATGAATATTTCATGAATTGTTTCAAAAGTTTAATGGATTTATAATTAATGTATGGATAATACATACCAATGAGAAGTAGCAAAACCAGAGCACAGAAGCGGTGATATATTTATAAGTTTTGCTGATTTTCTCGTCCTCTTCCACGCCAGACAAGTATGAGATCATAGATGTCATAGAAGTGGTTCTCTGGAGGTCACGGATGGGGTCGCGGATGATCTCCATCTCGGCTTTCATGTGCTTCTCGTGATTGATATTGTTTTGTATGAGAGTGTCGGTGCGGTGTTTGGCCAACATTTCTGCCAAATGTCGTTCCGACTCAATGTCGGCGGCCAGTGAGGGCCGGCTCTCTTGCGTGGCTTCCCTGGCCTTTGCGGCCATTTTGACGGCGCGTTCATTCGTGTCGTTCATTGCCTTAAATAGATTTCACGAAATTTTTGTCTAATTCTTGAGATTGTTTGGAAGTTAAGAATAATAAGTTTTTTATGCATAAAATTTAAACATAAATCAAATATTAGGTATTTATTAATGAATAATAATTAGTAGTTTAACAACTTTCTTGTTACAGAAAATTAAGTTAAGTACTAAACGAATGCACAGAATATCTTCAATGTATTGGAAAACAGACAAACGATTCTTAAGAGAATTCCTTTGTCACTGAAAATCACATATATTTGTATCACTTATATATCAAATGATAGGAAATTCATTCATTTTTATGAGTCTTTGATTATCACTGTCACAAAAGAGTACATCAAATAGGTATCAAATAAATTTTTTGGTCGACAAATAAGGGCTCAATATTTGCGTAGATTATCACACGTTTATAATAAAGTAATTAATGTTTTAAACAATAATCATAAAAATTAATTATTTTAATCGCAATCTCTATGATAGCAAACGACTGATTATCTGCAAATAATGGCAATCTGTTGTCTAATAATCAGTTTTATATAACTTTATTGAACCGGAGAACAGAATTTTTCACTTAATTTAATGTGAAATCATTTAAAAGTGTTTCGCGTATAAAAACACAGTCATAAAATGAGTTTGTATGTAATTTTCCGATTATTACTCAATAGATGAGGGGTAGATTGTAAGCCATACTTCTATTAATAAATCTAGTAATTAATTATCGATTACTATATTCATTTGAATCATACCTTGCTTAGTGATTCATTTCTTCAGATGTTGACAATAATAATGATTAGTTGCCGTCATTTCGTGTATATTCACATCAATTTGATTATTTTGCTTAAATAAATATTTTTCTGTTTTAGATAAACTATAATTAGACATCATTTTATGTCTCGTTATTTGGTTAGTTAGTTTTTTAATAGTGAAGTTTATTAACACATTATTTGAGTTTTAATGAACTTTTTTGTGTTATTTACTGTATTTGTTAAACTATAGTAAAAAGGATTCATACGACAACTCAATGCAGGTTTTTATCTAAAGATTAATAATTTTAAAACACATTTCTTATAATAACAATATTAGCAACAAATGTGCGATTAAGCAGTCAATTTACACAGTGATTAATGACAATAATTAATGAGATTTGTGATAACAGAATATAGCAATCATTTGCTTAATAATAAAAATGTGAATCATAAAATTTAAACTATTTTGTTTATGAGAAATTATTTATACCTCACTTCCAAACATAGAGAAAAAGCTATAAATTCGTAAGTTTTTATAGAAAGACTTATAAAAAAGTATTTTATATACGAAAACTGTAAATTCATTTTTTGATATCACTTGCGATTGTATTCAATTTGAGATGATTTTTGTATTTTATTATTCATAATACTTAAGGATATTTCGAGGCTATTATTCAATCAAATTGAGGCCAAATAAGTATTGTTTTTAATGTACGGCACACCGGGAGTACAGTATTTACTGGAAGTGACTTTTAATAAACTTAATTTATTTACTGCAAAATGATCCGGATTTTAATGGACTCATAATTAGTTTACTTTTAATGTAATTCTTAAAAATGATTAGATTTTTAGATCATGAGCTCTAATATGACATAAAATTAGTTTCATAATTTATTCGTAATATTGAATTGTGAGACAAATAATAGTTATTTATATGAATTTATAAATTTTTATATAATGTTAGATAAACTAGATAATGTTATAAAATGAGTAGGGGTGTACTTTCTAGGACACTGTATTTAAAAATAGTATTCATTGAATAAAGTTATTGTTATTCCTAGAAATAAAGTTATAACAATATTGAGTCATTTTTAACTTTTATTAGCAATTCATTAAAACAATTAGACTTATTATTTTTAAATTCAAAATTCCAGTACACAGATTAATTCCTATGAAATCAAATGTAACCATAAATGAAATCCCTTTTTTGGCTGAACATGTAATATATGGACCAAATATCTAACAGAATATTCTTAAGCGCATGACTCGCTTCCACCTTAAATCAGAAAAATCAATAAATCCTTTTGAGCCATACTTTGAATACTAATCCACATTTTTTGACAACAAAAGTCAAATAGTAAGAAATCGATTTAAATATCAAAAGCATTCAATCATTAGTTGTCAAAACAGTACAAACGAGTGGAAATGGATGATAATCATAACTTTTTTAACGTATCGTTTGAACATTCATATGGAGACCATTTGGGTCGACCGCTGCGCAAACTATTCTCATCGAGCGGTCAATTCAGTGAACTATACCTCTGTTTAACCGTTTTCACCATCTTTTTGGTCGTCACATGTATTTTGTTTGCAGTATTTTTGAGTATCAGGTACAAACTTTGTTAATATTTTGCCAATAGGTTTGATTGAAGTAAACTTTTTTATCAGTTACATAACCCGCAAGTCCTGTGGCATAGCGTTGGACATGGAGGGCGGCAAACATACCAATCGACTCGATCTGGTGGTGCCTCCCATTACCCTCAGCTAATCCATCACTTCATACAAATACATTGTTATCATAATTAAAGCTTAACATTGTATGCAATTTACTAATTTTTTCAAGTTTACGAACTTGTATGACAAGCTACTATGCACTTTACTCGTTACCTACTGTTTCAATGCCTGTCCATTAGCCCAACCAAATGTTTGTCTTCCACCAAATATTTTTAGATATCTTTTATGAAACTTGTATTCATTATATTGTATATTAATTGCCACTTTTATGAATTTTTATGATAAGTGCATCTAAAATCAGTGTAATCAAGTTTATCTGCTAATTATTTATGTATAAAATTTACTAAAATTGAATTTACTTAACAAATGCCGCAAAAGCACACAAATGTATAAAAGTTTTTGACTATTATATTTAAATTACCAAATTTTAATTGTATGATTATAACATTATTACTTGTAAATAATTTTTGATAATGATTAAATAATCTCTGAATAAAATGTTTATCTTAAATTATTAAAGCAATGTTTTTAAAATGAATGATTTGTATACAAAAATTATTTATAAAATACAGTTTTTATTTTATAATTAATAATCAAAATAAAATAATAGTGTGTAAGATATAGTGGGAAATATAAATAAAATAAAAATTCTGTTGTCAATGAATATAAGTTGATATGAAAACAGTATACAGTATTTAAACATTTAGCGAGTCTTTAGCGAAGTATATGAAGACCTGTTCGAGAGTTGTTTGACTGAAACTGTATTCCTCGACACCACTGTTGTCATCACTTTTCAGGCCCTCAAGCGCTGAGAATATAGTGGACAAGGATTTGACGGCCTGTTGCGGCACATCAGCCGTGAGTCGGTTGACAAACACTTCCCTAACCGTCCATTCGGTGAATATATTGGAAATGATTTGTTTGATGGCGTCGGGCGTGGTCTGCGTGGGCCTCCACTTGATGTCCAGCGCATATCCGGCGCCGTATTTATTCTTGAGGTGCTGTACGGATCCGATGCACCGCATCACCCCTTTCGTCAATATAGCCATTCGGTTGCAGAGAGCGTTCGCCTCTTCCATCGAGTGGGTCGTCAACACAGCGCTCTTTCGCAGGTTTTTGTTGAAATTCTTCTGAATTGTAGTCCAAAGGAATCGTTTCGCTATTCGCACGAAAAAATTGATTTAAAATATTTGCTGAAAAGTTATTTCTCAAGCTCTTAGGCCATACATACAGTGCGGATCCATTCCAGTGGACGGCTCGTCCAGGAGTACGAGTTTTGATTCGCCCATCAGTGATAAGATGTAACACAACTTCATATAAAAACATTTAATACTTTATCATTAATTTAGAGTCTATTTACAAATAATACTTACTTTTCGTTTGGTTCCGCCGGACAGGTGTTCAGTACTTTTGTTGGCGTGTTCTGTGATCTTCAGATCACTCATATGTCTGTAATTAAAACGAGTTACTGTCAAATGAATCTCATAAATGGATAACTAATGGCATACTTATCGCAATATCTATTGAGTTGATTACTCGGAACACCTCTGATGACTGCAAACAATTTAATGTGTTCTCTGACTCTAATATTGCCTCCACTTGATGTCCAGCGCATATCCGGCGCCGTATTTATTCTTGAGGTGCTGTACGGATCCGATGCACCGCATCACCCCTTTCGTCAATATAGCCATTCGGTTGCAGAGAGCGTTCGCCTCTTCAATCGAGTGGGTCGTCAACACAGCGCTCTTTCGCAGGTTTTTGTTGAAATTATTCTGAATTGTAGTCCAAAGGAATCGTTTCGCTATTCACACGAAAAAATTGATTTAAAATATTTGCTGAAAAATTATTTCTTAGACTCTTAGGCCATACATACAGTGTGGATCCATTCCAGTGGACGGCTCGTCCAGGAGTACGAGTTTTGATTCGCCCATCAGTGATAAGATGTAACACAACTTCATATAAAAACATTTAATATTTTATCATTAATTTAGAGTCTATTTACAAATAATACTTACTTTTCGTTTGGTTCCGCCGGACAGGTGTTCAGTACTTCTGTTGGCGTGTTCTGTGATCTTCAGATCACTCATATGTCTGTAATTAAAAGCAGTTACTGTCAAATGAATCTCATAAATGGATAACTAATGGCATACTTATCGCAATATCTATTGAGTTGATTACTCGGAACACCTCTGATGACTGCAAACAATTTAATGTGTTCTCTGACTCTAATATCTGGCCAAAGGGTGTCGTGTTGGGGACAATAACTTATCTGTTTGTGAAGGTATGTTGAGTTCATATTCTGTCCGTTAATCCTAACCAAACCACTGGTTGGCATCTCTTGTTTGATGATTACTCTCATGGATGTAGTCTTTCCCGCGCCGTTGGGTCCCAAAAGACCGAATATGATATTCTCGTCGACCATAAAACTTAAATTATTGACCGCTATTTCCGGTATAATGGTTGGGGACAGGAATCCATATAACCGTGACTTTTGAAACACTTTTCTTAATCCGTGGATTAATAGAATCGGATTCTAGTATAAAATATACACTATATCTTATAAACACATTTTTAGATCAAACTTTGCATTATTTGAATACCTTTTGTTGCTTTTGGAGAACTTCTTTGACATCTCTCCTCTCTTTGATGACATCTTCGTCTTCAAGGGGAGAATCGACTAAATCTACATTTACTGGTGTTTTGTTAAATAACCCACAACAATTGGATCTTTTATCGGGATTATCAATGATATATAATATATATGTATAGAAAACAAACGACAAAATCAACTATAGATTTATAAAAATAAATTTTAGATAAATTTTATAGTTATTAAATATTATATTTGGTTTCAATACTGACACTAATTACTAAAAGGGTCATAAGAAATATTATCCACATATCAGATATAATATTCCATTGTTCACCATACTATAAAATTAATAAAACTAATTACTATTATAATCATTTATATTACTTAATTTGAAATATGAATACAAACCATATATATGAGACAATAACCAAAAATAGTCGGTAATATTGGCCATAAAATACATACAATGAAAGGGAATATTCCCAAAATAAGAATAGGTATACCAAATAAATAGGCTAATCCTACTGGAACACCAATTATGACCACTATTAGTTGTGTTAACTGTTTAAAAAATATTACAAATTTAAATTAGTCATAGAAAATATTTATAAACTACATTAATATTACTAGTATTTCATAAGCACCCAACAGATTAGCGGTGGCTTTGTTTGGGAATAGGTGTCCGAAAACATAATTGGTTTGCATTAAAACAATGGTCGACAGTAACAGAAAACATATGAATATGATTTTGATTGGGAATGAATCCAAAAATTCTAATCTCACAATAAATGTGAACACAAAGAAAATAACACATATTTCTAACGTAACTAATAAGCTATGTATAAATAGATTGGTCAGCCAATAGCACCAGAATCCCATTCCGGATATTCTGATTGTTTCGCTTATTTTTATCTAATAATTACAAAGAATATTAAAAATAATTTTTAGATTTTTAGAGATTATGAATATACTTCTCTATCGTGTATAGTTTCCATTGCAAACGTAATACTAATACTTAAGCAGATGACAAATATATAGAGAAAAATATAAAGCATTAGAATAATCTTGGTCACATCAAATTTCTCCTCAGTTTCAGTTAACAGGAGGGGCTCATTAAACGTATGGATAACCCGTTTATTCTGTTCATTAACTAATCGAAAATAAGTGTTTGCCATCAGATTCTGGAGAATAGGCAGCGAATAGATATGTGTTTCGTTGAAAATCCATTGCCATTCAAAGTAATCTTTTTGGAAACTATTGATAACTACAGTCATATAACTGTTGTCCAGTGACTTAAGTTTGATGTCTTTAATCTCTTCCGGATTCACTCCAAACTGCAATACAATTCTTGTAAATTCTGCGAGACTTTTATTGGCATTGTTTTGATATCTGAGAGCAGATTGTTTTGAGTCATAAATATTAGGTGTAATGGGTATTGACACGGATTCTTGTGTATGAAGTAATGTTTTTTGGGAAATAAATACGACAATTAATATAATAAAGACACATATATTGATGATCACNGATTCTTGTGTATGAAGTAATGTTTTTTGGGAAATAAATACGACAATTAATATAATAAAGACACATATATTGATGATCACCAGTTGCCACGGATTCCTAAATGTAAGTAAATACTTGATGTAAAGGTAGGCGCAAAATGAACGCCAGAAAGTGGGCTTATATTTGATTTGCGAAAAATCAATGTCTGACTTGTCTTTATCTGACACAACGATTGTATGACTTTTGTCAGTATCTGCTTCAGCTTCGTCCTCGAGTTTGAGAAAGACTTCCTCGAGAGTAGTCATCGAAACACCAAATGATTTGACATTACTTTGAGAGTTCTCTAGCGTTGAGAATAATTGGGGAAACTTTTGGCTCTCATTTAGCCGCAGAATATAGAAGACTTCGGTTCCAGCGCTTCGATCGACCCGTGCGGTCGGGATCTTAGAGGTGACAAGATTTGTGATGTCCTCTATGTTGGTGTCTTTTTGTGTGTCAACGGTTAGATGATATCCGACACCAAACTTCTTCTTAAGAAACAGTGAACTCCCGACACATCGAAGCTTTCCTTTCGTAAGAATCGCTTTGCGATCGCAGAGAATGTCCGCCTCTTCCATGAAATGAGTGGTCATTATAATGGTTTT